ATACATGCCTAAAAAACCGATTAAACGAGGTTTATAAATGCTGGTGTCGTTGCGATTCTAAAACTGGGTACCTCTATCAGTTCCAAATTTATACAGGCAAAACAGATAATACAGCTGAAGAGGGATTAGGGTGTAGAGTTGTTTTGGATTTATGTCAAAATGTGCCAGAAGATACTTTCATAGTTGTTGATCATTTTTTACGAGCCTGCCGTTGCTGGAGATTTTGTATTCAGAGAAGATAAATGCTGTACGAACCATTCGAGCGAACAGGAAGGGATTGCCACCAGAAATTAGCAAGCAAAACAAAGATCTAAAACTGAGCTCTGGCTCATATTCAAATATTCCAATCCTATTGCATGCATTAAATGGATGGATACAAAAGATGTATTAGTAAGTACTACAGCGCATGATCTAAGGTCTGTTGAAGTAATACAAAGTACACAGAAGAACGGTTCAAAAAAAGTAATGTTTTGTCCAGTTACTATTAAGAAATATACAGAACACATGGGAGGAGTCGATCTATTTGATCATTATAGATCATCCTATCCTCTGAGTCGCAAGTCAAGAAAATACTAGCACCGTTTGTTTTGGTTTCTTTTCGAGGCGGCTGTGGCGAACTCATATATTATTTACCATCAAAACAGTCTTATGACACACAGAGATTTTCGTCTCCGACTTGGCCGTCTACTCATAAACAACTTCCGTGCCAAAAAAGTGACTGTTCCCCTTTTTAAGAACAAAAAGGGTGGAGTATACGGTGTTCCCGATGAAATCAGACTGCTGAATGTGGGACTACATCTACCTCAAGATAATTTGAAATTCCGCAGATGCCGCTTTTGTTCTACTCGCGTAAAAGAGAAACGCTCCAGATTCATATGCAAAACTTGCAAAGTATCTATTTGCTCCGAATGTTTTGACAACTTTCATAAATAAATATGGTGACATGTAATGAAATGTCTATCATTCTTCCCTACCCAGATGTGGGAATAATATTCATGTTGTATCTCAAAAACATATATTTTTATATGGACAACAGGAAAATAGTTCCCACGTGGTAAAACCCATTAGAGCAATAAATGATAAATATCAAACTCAGAAAATATTATTCTAGACCTCATAATAAGTATATTTTCCAAAATTCATAACTTTATGACCCATTAGGGGAGAATCCACTTTTTTATTGAATATGGGTGACCCGCGGGCACAGAACTCACCTGATGGTAAAGGATGCTGCGGCCCATGGACATCTAAATGCGTTCCCGACTAAGAATTAAACGCAGATGCGTTGTCATCTCTGAGGACTAAGACGTATTGCCTTGTTATCAGTAGAAGGGTATGCGGTTTTGTACACTCACCCCAAGAAACAGCCGACCCATTCGTGCTGTAGCCATAATTTAAAATACATAACAAAACAATTTTTTTTTTATATTATACTATTGTTGTCGTATGGACCATAGAGGGCACTAAAGGAAAAGGACAGCAGCATCCTTATAATACCACTCAAAACATTTAAAAAAGCTGCTGCAAGCGTGGCAACATTAGCAAATATTCACCCTATGACGCAATCTATGGGGAGGCCTATTTGTAGCAGTCGACGTTTGTTCGGAAAAAATCAACCAATGATAAATGATGGGTTATATAAAGTTTAAGCGACAGTGGTCTGAGGTACGTATTACGAAACTCAAGGGTCATGGGCTCGAATCCGCTATTCGACTACTGTCATGAACCGCTTCTAACATAACCATTTTAAAATTTAACTCTGGTGGTTACTCGAAATGGTGATAGTATTAAAAGCACAAATGTGTAAAGAAGGTGACATGATTTAAATGGTAGAAAATGAAAAAAAAAATACGAGGGTGGATTGAAAAGTACTCGGCCTAACCAAGAAAATAAACACATACTAAATCAGTTATATTTTTATTTTTCTACATAATCACCATCAAGTTCAATACACTTTTGCCACCTCCCCTTCGAAGAATTTAGACCGCTGAAAAAAATGATTCTTCCTTAGAGTCAAAATATGCGTCTACAGCTGCTTTGACCTCGTCGTTTGTCGAAAATCTTTGACCTACCAAGTGCTTTTTTAGGTTAGGGAACAGAAAGAAGTCTGATGGTGCCAGATCAGGTGAATACGGCGGATGCGGTAACAGTTCAAAGCCACAGTTGTGAATTTCAGCCATTGACTGTACTGACGTGTGAACACGGGCGTTATCTTGATGAAACAGGACTTTTCTTCTGAGCATTCCTCGACGTTTTTCTTTTATTTCCTCTCGTAAACGACGTAGTAAGGTGCAGTAGTAATCAGAGTTTATAGTCTGACCCCTTTCAAGATAATCAATCATAATCACACCTTTCGAGTCCCAGAATACTGAAGCCATCACCTTATTTGCCGACAAAATCGACTTAGCCTTTTTAGGGGGTGGTGAACCAGGTCTTCTCCACTGTTTTGATTGTTGTTTTGTTTCCGGTGTACAGTAATGAACCCATGTTTCGTCCATAGTAACAAAACGATTCAAAAAATCATCTGCATCGGCTTCAAATAACTCCAAACAGTCGCGTGAAATAGTCAATCGTGTCCTTTTTTTGTTCAACTGAAAGCAATCGCGGAACCCACCTCGCAGACACCTTGTGGAAACCCAACTCGTTGACAATGATGTTTTGAGTTCGTTCATAAGAGATGCCTATAATCTCGGCTATCTCTCTAATTTTTAATCTGCGGTCTCCCATTATTAAATCAAGTACTTTTTTAATATTTTCTTCAGTAGTTGACGTCGAAGGCCTTCCAGAGCGGGGTTCATCTTTCACACTCTCTCTACCACGCTTAAATTCTGCTATCCATTTTTTGACGGATGAATATGACAGAGCACAATCGCCTAATGTACTGACCATGTCATCATGGATGGCTTTTGATGATAGCCCCTTCTTATGGAGGTACTTAATGACGGCACGCTGCTCGATTTGCTCCATTCGCGGAAATTATGTCCGATTAACAAAGTTAATAAATTTATAAAATCACAACTAATTATCGCACACGTTTCGAACTTCACACAATGAACTAGTCTGAACTGAACTAAATAGATGTGGGTAGATTTGATTTTTAGAATTGAATGGATCTGTGTTAGGCCGAGTACTTTTCAATCCACCCTCGTACTTTTTCATATTTTCGTGTACGCTGCCTGCTGCATAAACCTGCTTAAGAATGCACTATTGTCGCTACGCGCGACTACACGACGCTATATTGATATCATCTCACAGGATAGAGACGTATTTACAAGTACATGCAGTTAGGGCCGTTTTTTTTAGAACAGACAAGTGCGAGTGGCACGTGCAACTGACAAATTACAAGTGCTTAAAATGTAAACCGGGATTTAGACAAGATTTATAATTGCGGCCTACAAATGAAATTTGTGATTTCTTAAATTACTTAGTACCTTATTTTAATAATGATTTCTTAAATTTACGCGAACACTACACATTGAATAAAACTAAATTTACGGATTCTATCGCGTTTAATTAATTACTTTTACTTATTTTTAAATTCCGACGTTTCGGGTGCTTTACAGCACCCATGGTCCGCGGGGGACTGAGATGTTTTACGTCCCAATGTCATTGTTAGCCCAACTACTTCAGTTTTTGAATATTAATTTTTGGTCTGATTTACGCAAAACGAGCATACAGTTACATCTTGAAGTTTTGCAGTGGTATGCTTGGGTTTGGGTTAATTTTTGTTAATTATAGGATCCCAAGCAGATGGCAGCACCTAACCATCTTCTCTATAGAAATTAGGATTTTTTTAATTTCAATAGCCTCGCGTATCATCCTTGGTAGGAATCGGTGTTCTTTTGCGAGGATTTGTGGTTTATCAAATCTGATGTAATGGTGGGGACGATCTTGAACATGTTCACAGACTGCAGACTTCCCGGAGCGTCGGTGCTTCACGTCAGCTATATGTTCTTTCACGCAGGTTTTTATGGATCTTTTTGTTTGATCTATGTAAGAGAGACAACATTCACAATCTAACTTCTACACTCCCGCATCTTGTAGAGGGATATTACACTTGACGGATAGTAAACTATGTTCATGTCAAACATCTCAATGCGCTCCACTCAACTTTCCGAGCGAGTCCTCGCAATCTGTTTGAAGTTAAAGTGACAAATCACAAACTATAAAACTCAATTTATAAAACGAACGGTGAGCTTTTATATTCCTTTGGAATTAATTTCCTAACCTTGGATCTAACTTTAAGAATAACACAAGTTATTTATTCGAATTAACATAAAAATGATTTTGTTGTAAACAAGATGACTTTTAAGATATTTTTAATAGTAGTAGGGATGATAAACGAGTACATAGTCCGTTTGGTGGAACTGGGTACTACATTCCATGGATAACTTAATCTATAATCGAATAAATATTAAATTTATATTCATTGTCACACCAATGGACTTTGGTACCAGTATTTTTTTTAGAACATAGTAATATATTTATTTATTAATAAAAGTTTATATACATGAAATGGTTAATACAGGCGGAATTAATGCATTATTTATTCTCTACCAGTCAAGCTCTGGTTTTCTACTGCTATTTTATGCTGGTTTTCTGCGGGAGCGTGATCGTATATTGTTCGATGTGAACCATTCATGATACAGCCGTAATACATCTTTAGCATGGCTTTACTTTACTTTACTTACTTTTTCATTACTTTGCTGTACGTATAAGGAAGGACGAATCAAACCATTTAGTTCAAATGCGTGGAACGGCGAAAACAAATTGTTGGAGACCCACCGAGCATCTGGTTAAACGTATACTATAGAATTCCGAGGGGGCTGGCTACTCCTGTTATAAGCGCATGCATAGTTGCATAGGTTTTCGAGTTTTTCAGATCATTGGCCTGCAGAGAGCGACGGCGAGCGCATAATTTTTTTTTATTATTTAAAAATATGACTAATTTTTGCAATTGTGATAAAAATAAATAATTTCGGTGTACTTGTTGATGAAGTTTATAATTCATTATCTTTTCCAACTTCTGTCCTGTGCAGAATTATTATATGAGGATCTTAATCTAGAAAATTTAAATTTACAAAACCTTTATGTTATTGAATTATGGTTTATTTTATTTTAAACTAGAAAATTCAAAAGTCATAGGAATAAATATCTTTAACCGGAAAATCTAAAAGTTTAGCGTGGTAAAGATAAATTCAAGCAGAGCAATACCGATAGTGAGACCGCTTTGTATAAGAAAAGCTTATTTTGTATGGCTACTCGCTCCGGATTACCATTTTCCAATATACATTAGAAAATTTAAGATTATAATGTTTCTATAAATAAATATACAGTTTTTCAACCGACCAGGTGTAATATAATAATGAATATGTTACATTTTTTTATAGTAGAGGGTGCAAACAAGCATGCGGCTTACCTAATGGTAAGTGACTACCGCCGCCCACGAACAACCGCAACACCAGGGGAATTGAAAGAAAGAAAGAAGAAAGAAAAATTTATTGCAGCACGCCACAAACATCAGTAGGCACTTAAATTTTGACACATGAGTTATAAACATTATAACAAACAAAAACAAAAATAGGAAACAAAACCACAATTTGACGGATAAAACAATTTAAAAGTATTAATACTTATAGATTATAATTTAAAAAAAATAGAAAGACAAAAAGAATCGTTTCTCATATTGTACGAGTATGTTGTGGCGCGTCATACAAACGGACCTCACTCAGCTTATGCTGTCGCCGGAGCAACAGCGCTGGTTTTCAGTGGGCCCGAACGGATAGTAACGTACGGACGTCCGCGAGTGATACATAATAATATTCTAAAACCAATCCGTCTAACTATGCTGAATTATTGATTCTTTAGTCAGTGGAACTATCCGAACAGTATCCAATTTAAGGTTATATTATCATCACTCAACTTTATTAGTTGCGACCTTGTCCGCCTGTGCTATGTGCCAGTACCCATTTTGGTGAGTAGTACGCTTCAGCCTATGTTCTTCTAAATTGATATTAGATAGTTTTTATATTTTTCTTTAAAGGTTTTAATAGTTTTCAGGCTACGAAGCGGTGGCGGCAGGTCGTTCCAACACTTTGAGGCAGCGTACCTAAAGCTCCCACGAAAAGCAGCGGTGCGATGGAATGGCACGGCGAGAGAATAAGTCGACGCACAAGTTATTTTTGAATTTACGTCGCGCGACCATACCAACTTTTGGAAGAGATAAGGTGGCATATTATATTTAATTATACCAAACAGTAGTGTTGCTAAATGAAAGTGACGACGATATTTCATTTTTAAAATGTTGCCTTCGTTGATGTACGGCGTAACGTGAGTGCGTGGCGGTATCCCAAAGCAAAATCTTGCACAAGCATTCTGAACTCGCTGAATGAGTTTTTGACTACGTATTAATAGACGAGGACCATAAACTACATCCATGTAATTGAATTTAGAAAGAATTAATGAGTCACAGAGCCTTATTCGAATATCTGTGTTCAGGAAATTTCTAATTTGATACAGGACTTTAAGTCTGTAGAAGCAATTTCTAGCAGTATTAAGTATGTGATTCTCGAAGCGCAAACGATAATCCATAAGCAGACCTAAATTGCGAGTTTCAGTCACACGTTCAATTTGTTCCCCTTTTATGGTGACATGAAGTCGTTGATTCCAATGTTTTGAATTTGCTTAGCCGTTCCTAGAATCATATACTTTGACTTATTTCCATTTAAAACAAGAGCATTCGATTTTGACCAATCAGCAATGCCTTCTAAATCTTTGTTTAATTTGTTTATTGCTGATTGAGTTTCCTCAGGCTTATATGATATGTAAATCTGTGTGTCATCAGCGTACATATGATATCTACAATGTTTGATGTGATCTACCATATCTGCACAGTACATAGCAAACAAAAGTGGTCCTAAAATTGAGCCTTGAGGTACACCTTGTTTCACAACCTTGAAATCAGAAACTAGCGGCAACCCTCTATGGTCAGAAATTTCTACTCGCTGTGCGCGATATTTAAAGTAGCTCTCAAACCATTTCACCGCAGTTGCGTCGAAACCATAATAGTGCAAATTTGACAAAAGTAATGGTACATTCAAGCAGTCAAATGCTCTAGAAAAGTCTAGTAGAACTAATATTGTGCCTTTTCCAGAGTCCTGGTCTGACAGAATATCATCAATTACTTTAATCAGAGCGGTAGTTGTACTATAACGTTGCCTAAAACCCGATTGTAAACTAGGGAGTATTTCATTTGTTTCCAAATACTTTCTTAGCTGCTCGACCACAACCTTCTCTAAAATCTTTGACACACAGGGCAATATGCTGATCGGGCGGATGTCCTTCATGTTAGTTGGATTTGCGTTTTTAGGAATAGGTCTGACCAAAGCGTGTTGCCATTCTGTGGGATATGTATGGGTTTCTATAGATTTGTTAATTATATTTGTTATAACAGATATTGTGTTGGGTATTGACATTACGAGCATATTAAGGGATATGCCATCTACGCCAACCGCATTTGATTTTAATGACTGTACTATTTTTAAAATATCAATTTCCTGTAATGTCTTTAGCTTAAATTTACTTGAAACTTTTATGAAGACGTGTTAGAAGTAAGTATTTGATCATGTCCAGGAACATTTAAAACGCTGGTATTAATTAAATTGGGATCATTAAAAATATGATACGGTAGTTCTGGTTGGCTTTAGGATCTCTTTTAGTATTGTTGATATAGTAGTCATAGTATGCCTGTTTTTCTTTGCGAAGCGCCTCAATACAGTATTTTTTTAGTTCCTTATAATAGTTCTTATGTATCTCTGAACCAGATTTACGTGCTTCTAAACCAGCTTCATCCCGGAGTTTCATAATTTTTTTATATTATAAGTGATCCAGGGACATTGTAAATGTCTTACAGTTTTTGTGCAAAGGGGCGCATGAATATCAAATATGGTTAACATCATTGTGTTAAAAAGAGATACCATATCATTAACGTCATTCAGGGTGTTGATGGTTTCCCAGTTCATCGACTTTAGATCTAATTGAAACTGTTCGACATCAATGGAATGTAAGTCTCTGCGTGATATTATAATTGGTTTTTGTTTGGGCTTTTTGAAATTAATTTCACAACAAATAAATGCATGGCTACTCAGATCGGGTATGTGATTAACTAAAATATTGTATTGCTGGATGTCTGTACAAACTATATCTATTAAGGTTTGACTATGATCGGTGAAATGAGTTGGTTCAGTTACACATTGGCTCAGTTTGTAGCACTGTAAGAATTCTCTAAGTTTTTTTATAATTACTATCCGCGGTGTTCAATACATTTATATTAAAGTCCCCTAACAAGATTATATAATTGCACCATGCAAGAGTCCCGATAGTTTCAGACAAAGCATCGAAAAATGTGTCTACGTTTAACCATGGTGGTCTATAGGCAGTACCAATCGCGATCTTAGTACCGTTAATAGTTAGAGCAAGCCACATCTGTTCTACAAGCGGAGTCGAAGGATGAGGCAACGTTCTAACAGCTAGACCCTGCCGTATGTAGAAGCCAACTCCGCCATCTCGCGAGCGCACATTGGTCGGTCGGGGAATGTGACGTAACCGGTATCCTGGCACCGCAGGCGCGCGCGCTTCCTCACCCTCATGCTAACAAGTTTCGTTAATCGCCATTAAATCGATAGCGTGGCGATCTATAGCTACTACTAGTTCTTCATGGCCTGTACCTAGTGAACCTACATTTAGAAGCCCTAACTTAAGATTACTTGTCATGTTGTATGATATAAAAGTATATTCACAATTGACATCTTTGACCAACAAATATCAGAGTAATACTCACAATAATTGTTCCTACTCTGAGCTTGTTTCATTACTCTATTTATGTTGTTGTAGGTTTGTGATATCATAAGAATGTTAACTGAATTTAGCAAATAATTATAACGGGTAGGATTTAGGGGATATACATATTTTCTTACATTTAAATAACTAATGCCTATAAAGCGTATAAAGGAAGTAACATAAATATACATACGTATCGGACCTGTAGACATTGTCCTACTACACACGTAATAACAACAACAATGAGCGTCAAGCTTTATAAAGTCTGAGTAATGTAAAAAGACATTTACTTTCTTTGGTAAACAGTTAATAACAAATGATGCACTAATAAAATTCAGAAGACTATAACAAATAATGTATATGGGTAGCAAATATTTTATGACTGTAAATGGAAATACAAATAGCTTATTACGATAACTTGGCTCAACTATATATTTTTTTAAATGGGATTTCGTATTATTTCGAAGTTGTAAATAAATCTTATTAATAACTATGGATATATACGAGTACCCACAAAACAATTGACGATAGTAAATAGTTACAAAATTAAATAAAGAAATTAAAAACACTAATTCATTTTTGTAGGTAAACTGAGAGACAGTTATGGTGATCGAACAAATTCGGACCCAAAAACCTTAGCAATATCCGCGTTGAAGCGAATGCGATTTATTGGAGCTCCTGCTTCCCGACGTGCAAAAATTCGGCCTCCCTTCGTTCAAACATATCGCCATCCCTGCTTGCGGCCTGTCTCGCGTGCCATGCGAAACAACTATTTATTTTAGTCAGTCGTTCGTTTATATACATAGATATTGCAGGGTGCGGACTTAAGACCTAGAGCCTCGGTTGTTAGAGACCGGCGGACGCGGGAAGCACGCAGCACGTCGTTACGCACGTCGCGCCGCGCCAGCCGCACAGCGATGGGCCGCGGACGAGATGTGGCATCCTGGCGGCCGCCCCCACTCGCATACAATGGACCAGTTCCTTTTCCTCCAAATGAACACCAAGCTTGGTCACAACTGATAGAACCAAGTGTGTTGGTTTCTCCCCCACTCTCCTCTGGAATGCCACTTAATTCGACGTCATTTGCAAGCAACTCCTGATCCTTATCGTTTAAGTCGGCTTGCAGCTGATTGACGGTCGAATCGAGTTTTAGGATTTCAATTTTGAATCCTTGAGAGCCATATTGCTCTTGTGATTCCAAGATAGTTTGGACCGTGTTCTCGAGCTTATCTAAACGAGCATCGCATTTGCTGACAAGGTTTCTTATTTCCTGAAGTTCTTCTCTGAATGCCCGAAATTCTTCGCGGGTTTCTCGCATTTCTTCTCGGAAACATCGCAATTCCTCTCCGAGGTTTGAAACCTCACTCGAATTAGCAACAGTAATTGTTGCGGGTTTTATCGGCGTTGTGTCCTTGTTGCAACGTTTTTCTTTCAATTTGCATTCAGGGCAAGCCCAGTATGGCATTAGTGAAGCGCCCACTGGGATGCCTACACACGCACGATGTAGCTGTTTATTACACTTTGTACAAGTAACATTAGCGCCATCTTGCGGAGACATGTATTTACCGCACGCACTGCACTTAACTGCCATGATCAATAAGTTTTAATACGAGTAGTTGATAAAGCAAAATTATGCGTTGATTTATTAGTACACAACGGAAGCGTGAGATGGAGCTGTGTTGATCAGTACTATATGACGGTATTATGTTATTAAATTTTATTTGATGACATTTAAAAATAAAATGTTTTTAATATGTAAATGTTGTTTTTTTTTACTATTTATTCACTAATCACTAAACACTCTAATGTATCCACACCATATAAGGTTCGCAGTACACAGATGTTTAACTTTTGCACAAAAATTCTAACTTAAACAACGTCCAAATAATTTTAAATTTACATAAACTCTTCCGACTCACTAACTATGTATCTCAGGACGGGCGTCCGTGACGCTACTCAATTGCAAACTATGCGTTGCCGGCCTTTTAGAAAAGAGTAAGCTCTTTTCCTGAAGGTCCCTAAGTCGTATCAATCAAACATTGCTGATAAAATTTAACTAACTTTACCTTCGCCCTGTGTATGTTCATTTTAAGACCTATCCGTTAGAAGACTCTGTTGAGGTCGGTAAACTGAAGTGAACTGAAGTGATAATGGGTTGGCCATATAGCAGAACAACTGACAAACGCTGGTGAAGAAAGGTTTTTTAATGGCAGCCGCAAGACTATCGTAGTACCGGTAAACGAAATATAGAGCAACGTCCAATTACGAGTATTCGATTGACGACCTGTTAAAAGAGGCAAGAAGTCAGTGGATGCAGGTGGCTCAGGAACGTGCTTTGTTTCGTTCTTTGAAGGAGTGTGATCACCAGTGAACTTATGATAGACTTTAATCATGATTATAAATGATGAATACACGATACACATGCAGTTATTTTGATATTAAATGTTGAATTTTTTTATTCGGAAGAAGCAAGAAACACCTACAATGGGATTTTTAATATAGTTATGTGTAACAATATATTTTATCTACAATATAACAATATTTTTAGTATAGTTAAACCGTGTAGACACAGACATAGACATAGACATGGGTTTTGTTAGCATGAATATACTCACAAAATATACATATAGAAGAAAATAAGAAAAAAACATACAAGGCATAAGATGGTAAACATAATTAAAAATAAATCTCGGCAAGAGTGAGTGATGTGATGCTAAAAAGGATTCCGTCTCAGCATATTAATCTACCACAGGTACCGCAAACAGCGCTGATTTTCAGCGAGGACCTGGTAAATATTAATTATATATTGCGCCCGCGTCTTGTAAGAATATACACTACCCCATATCATCCCGTGTGTGTCGCAAGAGGCGAAAGAGTGTTTGAGAGCGAACAGTGGTTACCAACTCCAAGTGTGAAAACTATGGCAAATATTCTCCATGTCATGAAATCTATGGGAAAGGCCAAGGTTCAGATGAGTAATCATGATTCAGTGGACTTTAATAGGCTGTAACGGTAACTTAGGGTATGTTAAGTTTTCGCATAACCTAATATACCGTTCGTGAAGTTACTAAAATAATTGTATGTAAAAATGCCATGTAAGATGAACATTCAACGCAGGACACAACCTAATGAATTTAGCCCTATCCTTCGCTATATATATATATATATATATATATATATATATATATATATATATATATATATATATATATATAGCGAAGGATAGGGCGCTAGTATTATTTTAGTGTCTTCAATGTTGTAAACATTGTATACCACGTTTTTTGAAAAAAACTAAACGTGTTAATTCATAGAATTATAAAAGAAGATTTATTAAGTTTTTTGTACATCGAATTCGAACTTGTGCGTTGTCATGTAGTAGTGGCTTAAAAGAATCCACTACACCATATCATCCTCTGGGTGTCGTAAATGGCGATATAGGGAAATGAAACTGTAGATGAGTAGCAGCATCTTGCTTATACCAATTGAAAATAATAAAAAAAACTGCGGTTTGGCAAACCGCTTCCAAGCATGGCAACAATAGCAAAATCCAAACCAGTAGGAAAAATAAGAATGAGAACATGGTTGTATAAACACAATTATATTGTTTAAAAAGTTTTATACAGAATTGAAACAATCAATAAGTACTTTCAACCTGCAAGTCATTTGTATTCAGAGACATTTGTAAAGACTGTATTCAATCAAATCTAGCTTTGTTTATCCCCTTTTAAGAAGTTTTCTTTAAAACTTTTGTGTTTGCTTCTAATATTATCCGTAATGCACCGTGATATGATCGATTTTCCTTCATTATGTTCTGTTTGATGTTGATCTGAAAGCAGTCACCACGAAAAAATACAATATGTTGCTTTGACTTTACAGACATTGAAAAAATGAAATAGATGAAAAATTATGATAAAATTCCATGGCGTTGTTTCCATGTAGCTTTATTTGAGCTAGTGAAATAAAATTAAAAATATAATTTATATAACTCAAACTCTAGGGGCTAGAGAGAGAAAGTATATTTAACTAATTATAAAAATGTCATGTGGTTTATTGAAATATAATTCAATTTAAATGAGTAATCATTTTGTATAACCTATATATTTATGCATTGTTTATAAAATATTCATTAGTATTATAGGTACATTTATTAGTTAGGAACTCTTCTAATTTTTTTGTAAATATGATGTAACTGTTTTCATTTTTTAATATGTCGGGTAATTTACTACATAATTTTATGAAAGAACTAAATATATTTCTCTTCTGCCTAGAAGTCCGACTTCTCTTCTGCGTAGAAGTCCATCTGAGTACCTTACCTATTTCTCCCGCCTAATAGCAGTGCTTGAACTGTCAAAAAAAGAAGGAGAATAAGAGTGTCTAAGAAGTATAGTCCGATTAGAAGGGTATAGAGAACCAGTATAAAGACTTGGTGTTAACCCAGTCTTTCAGAAAGTAAGTAAAACCGTTTGTCCTGCTCGTGATGTCTGTCTTGTCGTGTCGGTTTACAACCCCATCGGACTATGTAAGTGAGACAATAGAGAGGAGGTACACCCCCTATTCGCTCACTTTATATTGTATGTACACATACATACACATACAAAACGCTTTTGGTATATATTTTTTATTTATCATACACCTAATATTACCTAAGTTATAAGTTGGTCAGTAGGTGGGGGCTGGTGATGTGTCATACAGGGAATCCTAGTACGGACACCAGTCTCTCACAAATTGGTTATATCATATTAATACTAATATATTAATACTAATTATACTAAGTTGTACGTTTACGTTTATTACAAAATTTGTGAGCGAAAAAAAATTAATATTTTATATTATATCGGCCGCTGCCGTGAAAATAAATTTACCACAAGCTCCACATTTAACCATATTTAAGAAGTACTGTTCCTTGTATACTCCATTCACCCATTGATGGTATATAATAAATACCGAGGTGTATGCAGCAAAAAATATGTAGGTAAATCAAATAATTAAGTTGTACGAGTGACCGTAACTAGCAAATTAAAAAACAAAACCAGTTGTGTTCATTCGACTTCTTACGTTCACTAGATTAGTGACTGCACCAATTTACCGCAAAACACTCACTGTTATGTAGTGTTATGTTAACAATCAAATAAATAAACTTTAAGCTGAAACTACAGCTCTATCAATTTTATTTACTAAATTATAAGCAATACTTGCGCAGATAGCCAGTCTCCGTTGAGACTTGTCGCAGTAACCGTAATTGATTGTGGCACAAATTGTTCGGCTTAACCGAGGAAGGACACCGCTCTTTCGGAATATTAGGGTAAAATAGTACCTAAATGCAGCTGTTTTTCGAATGATGAGTGTAGAGAACAAGACACCCTTTTTATTAGAAACGAGGCATCCTAGTATGTTATTTTTCAGGGGTGACCAAGCATCTGTATTTTGATTCCTAATTGAAAATAGATGTAGACTTCTATAAACCAGAGCAACCACTTACTAACAGGTAGAATATGTTGTCGTTTGTAACTAGTTTTTATAAAAAAGAAATGTGTATGAAAGAGTACGTGTCAAAAAGATGAACATGTACTCAGCGCTCCGTCCATCTTCTTTTAATGGTCTGACACAACCTTTATTATTGTAGGATTGACTTTGACGCAAAGTGTGAATATAACAAATGATACGCGATAAGATTTATCGACTTCCTCGAGCTTTGGTATTACTTTATATAACATTATACGTATAAAAATGAATATTGTTTTGTTTTTTCGTCTTCTATACGTTACCAAATCATTCATCCGATTAGGATGAAACTTTGTGAGTATTATGTGTGCCCTTGTTAAAATTTCTGGCAAAAAAGATATTGTTTCTTGTTTTTTGTTCGTATTCTATGAATTCTTATAATATTCATATGATTGCGGTGAAATTGTGATGAATTTATGTACGCACCCGCGAAGGTTTTGATAAAAAATTAGACATGTTTGTTCGTTATCTGTGTCCCTGTACGATTCATTTGATTGCGATAACATTTTGATAGATTCATGTGCGTGCCTGCAAAGGTTGCTGACAAAAAAAGAGACATTAAAATGCATGGTGGGCACAGCTATTATTGAAAAAAAAGTGCGAACGTTTTTATACTAGAATGGTTGACAAAAGAGAGGTAAAGCGCTCACTGTAAGTTACACAGTATTCAGTATACACAGATTCGGGCCCTGGTGTCACGAATGTAATTGTTAGTTTTGTGTGAAGATTTCCCTCGTGCTCGGTGGCGAGGAATAACATCGAGAGAAATCATGCGTGACTAAGAAATAAAAAGGAATTTTTCAAATCCATATAACGTCTGCCAACCCGCAGCGAGAGGTACATTTTATTAATTTTTAACTTTATTAGTTTAACATATGATTATAAAAACCACCTGATATCAAGTGGACGCTGTAGCCCATAGATAGCTACATTTATTCAAAATTAACAATCAAAATGCAAATGCGTCGTAATCCCTAGGAACGAAATCCTCCTTATCAATTCTTGTCACACATAGCAGCTTCATGTATGTTGCTATTTCACGCTGGTAGTCTGTGATGGCATGGTCCTACCCCGGTTGAATCGACACGG